TTTATTTTTAATATACAATTTATCTTATAATACTTGAATTCCAAATATTTAATGATATATTCAAGGGAAACTAAGGTAATTTCACTTTTTTGGTGGTTTGAAGTGTAAACCACGTCGGATCGGTGTAATTATTTAATAAAATATTAGTGCTAGGCATTTGTACATTCTTGGGGCCATTTCTCATCTCTTTAGGATTATTTTATTAGGAAAGTGACCGTAATTGTTTCATAGAAAAAGAAAAATTAGACATCTTTTTAATATAAAAATATTTAATAATATTCATATGATAAATTTAATAAAATTATAATTAATATTATATTATATATATTTAATCATTATAATTAAATATTAATATTTTTAATATTAAAACGTCTTAATTTTTTATTTTTTTTTCTTTTAATTCATGATTTCTGATTGTAATTGTTTTTGTGATGCAATATCCGCAGAAAAATATATTAATATTTGATATTTCCCCCTATCAAATTTAATTATTTTACTTTCTAAATAAGAGTGGTGTAATTTAATTGTCTTATTTTTTTATTTTAATAAGACATTAATAAATGTTAATATTTCAATTTCACCTTTATTTCTAAAAGGATAGAAATGTGTTAATTTTTTTAATTTAATTATATATAAATGAAGATGAATATAAAAAGATATATTATAAATGAATTTCTTAATTATTGATTGCAAGATAATTCTTAAATGACTATCCATCTATAAAAGATGACTACAAATTTCTTAATTATTATTAATGCATAAAGTTGAATAATTAAATCGGGCAAGATAGAGTAACTACTTTTAAAAATTTGAATATCTATATAATTATTTAAATAAACAATAATTAATTAAAATAAAACTAATTAACATTTTTAATAGTGCATAATTTGAGAAAAAAAAAGTGTTGTAAAAGCCGTCTCAACTGAATCCATTCCTTAGTGATTCATGCCGTCAGATGGCCGAAGAATCACAACTCTCATTGGAAACTTGTAGGAAAATACTAAATCATTAATTTAAGAATTAATGGATCACATATATTAGTGGCTCCCTATGAGTCAGATGAACTAAAACAACACAACCCCATCCTATCTCCAAATCTCTAGAGATCTCTCGTTCCCTTTTAAATAAGTTAGAAATCTCAAGTTTGATGTTTTTCAATTCAGTTGTTCCAAGATCTTTTCTTTGAAATCGATTTGGGTGCAGGAACTTGTGATACTTGAACAAGGAGTACAGTGCATGCTGAGTCAAATGTCATATCTAGGTTCCTCCAATGGAAACTCAGCCTTTCTTCAACCACAAACGTCGCAGGACTGGATTCGTACTTGTTCTTATGATGTCCATAACTCCTTTTATTATCACCAGAATGATGATCATAGAAAGAGCAGCAGTTTGACATTGGAAGAGAAGAAACAGCTTAAATACTTGGAAGATCAGCTTGGGATTTGTATCAAGGACGAACAACATGAGGTGATGATGATATTAATTTCTTTTTTGATGTATCCATTCTTCTCTTGATACATAGGATGAAACTATATAACAGCAGATTATATATTTTTCTTTTCTTAAATCCTTCTTTTTTTATTATTTCGCTTAAACTTGTTACCTCAAATTTAGAGTTTCAAACTCTTATGTCTCTATGCTGTTTTTAATCCATAGTTGATGTATAGATTCTTTCACTCAATATTCCATCAGGGTGCTTCACATGTACACAAACAAAGAATTAGATGGACACCGGAGCTTCATGAACTTTTCTTAAATGCAGTTGAAAAACTTGGTGGCGCTGAGAGTGAGCCAATCATTATTTTCTTAATTTCATCATCAAATATGCCTTTGTGCTTTATTAAATTGCTAGTTAAATTTTTCGTAGGTGCGACACCGAAGAATATTTTGAGGCTTATGAATGTTGAGGGCTTGCACGTCTACCATGTTAAGAGCCATTTACAGGTCATTTGTTTCACTGAATTTCTACACTCAATTCTGGATTCTATGTCTAGGGATTTTCCCCATGAACTAATGCCCTCGTTTGGATATGCAGAAATACCGACTCGCGAAGAATGCATCAGAGATGAAACAGGGTATGAAAGACTTACTTATTGAGGAGTGCTAGCAACACTTTCTTTTACCCTTTAGTTTTAATTCTCATTTATGTGATTGGCATATGTTGTAGGAATTTCTCTATTATTTATACACATGATATGTTATTTAAATTTAAAATTATATAACATGTGAATCAATAATAAAGAAATAATTATCATAATATAACTATATAAAAAGTGTTAAAAAGAGTATCGTTAACATTTCTCTTAGATGTTTGGGTTTTTTTTTTCCTTCTTCTTGCCATATACATTTCATGTTATGATTTTAGATTTTTATGGAATTCTCTTTGTTGTTTCATAGATAAAAGAAGCTCCAAATCAGAAGAAATGAGATTGGCGGCTCCAACTGACTCTGATAATAATGTTGTCAACTTAGAAAGGTCAAGTTCCTGCTCATGCCCTGCTGCAGGACATGTGCCTCATCCATCTTTATTCTTCTGTTACCTTGTGTCTTAAACAAGCTTTCACTAATGCACACCACAAACACCTAATCAACCATCTTGTGAATGGATGCAGAAGCATGCAAGTTCTAGAGGCCATGAGGATGCAAATTGAAATGCAAAAGCTACTGCATGAACAGCTGAAGATACAGAGGGACCTTCAGGTGCAAATAGAACAGCATGGACAGTACTTGAAAAAGATAATGGAAGAACAAGAGAAAGCTGGAAGAGAATTGTTATCAAATCCACCAAAGGAAGCAGACTGCTCTTCTAGTTCTAGATGGCAAAAGCGTCAGCGGGTAGACACTAATTAAAACTGCATCTATCCAAACTTCTTCAGGTTTTCGTAATTTCATGTGAACAAATAAATAGAACTCTGTATCTCATTAGTCTTACCATCTTGACATTAATAGTACTCCATATCTCATTAGTCTTGTCATTGTGAAATTAAGGGCCTATTTGGTTAGCAGTGTCTAGAAAAACTGTTACCTCGAAAGCTACTGCCTCTAGAAACAGGGGCAGTTTAGTTGACTAAACATAAAGTTGATACTTTCCCAAGAAGTAAACCTTTTGGCTACTATAAGATTGAAACAAGAGAATGATAACCATAACTTAGATTTATCATGAAATAATAATTATTTTTTATAATTTACAAAATTTTTTGATTGTTAAAGTACTCAATAATTGCAACCGAGTAGGGTGGGAAATGAGATGGTAGAAGATTGACCTCTATATATGTTATCTATCAATCAAGAAGAAGAAAAAACGAAACCTAGACTACTGAAATTTTATCCTTCTCATTGAAAGGCAAAAGGATGTCCCGCTTCATCAAGTTCTTGCTATGACTATGAGCACCTCATTCCCAGGAGCCAAATTGCTGAAACATTCACCTCCAGCATCTCAGTAGTTAGGATGGTGCCGTTTTCCCCTGCGGCGTGTGTGGTTTGTACGGGAACTATGACCATGCTTTGCTGTCTTTCTACTGCAAGAACATGAAACAAAATTGCTGGGATTGTGTAAAGATTTTAATTTTTTTCTTATAATTATCTGACAAACAATAACAAGCAAACCTGAAAAGAGCTGACAATAGTTGTAAGAGAATTATGACTGGTAAGCTAAGCAAAGCAGTCGCCTACATTCCAATGAAGATGATGAGAACAATCAGCTAACTCTTGAATAACAAGCATTAAAGCATGCTCATAAAATATCGTTAACCATAAAGCCAAACTATCCATTAGTTAAGGTTGAAGCTGTATGCTATTATTCAAAAATGCATACTGCAAACCAGGCAAGATCTGTAGTTGCCAAAGATTTTGTTAACTGATGGTTCTTGAGAATTTCTTGGACCTGAGCACAAAAGCATGTTTTAAATTTCAATAAGCACAAATATATATAAAAGCAATGATTACTTATGGTGGTGAAAACTGTTGCAAAAGAAAAGAAAAATAAGAGAAGACAATTGGTACCTGGCCATGGTATAAAGTCCAAGATTTGATAAAATTTTGATAAGCACCTACTAGTCTTTTGGTGCAGGGCTTCAAGGCAGCTTTCATGCAATCCAAATGAGGTTTTGTCACAACTGCAACTTGATTGATGTATGGCTCAGCAAACTTCCTTGCTTCCTGCCAAAATACATAGTTTTGCTATTTTGAGGGAACTCCTTCAAGTTTCTCTACTGCATAAAATAGTTTAACTAAATGTGGTGTTACCTGAATATAAGGATCTGTCATTTTACGTGCCTTGACAACATGTGGTCTTATAGAATCCTTTGATGCATAATAGACCTCAATAGCTTTGGTAAATAGAGACTGAAGATGTGGATCAAGATAGGTCATGCATGTAGTCCATTCCTCCACAATCATTGGGATCCACTCCTTCACATCATAAAACAACATATTCAGACATGACTCACTGAAACAAATTAAAAATTCAACATATTAATCTAAGAACAATGAAGAATGCTTCATGCACTGTCATACAAGCCATTTAAAATTACAGAGAAAAAAAGTGTATGAAAATGGCTTCGACAAAAGAAAATAAGGATATCCATACCAAATTTGCCAAAGACTTATGATGTGATAACACTATCATGTACGAACAGATATAACCAACAAATCGAGAGGAAGGTTAAAACAGCAAAAGGGTAAATTAGTCATTATTGAAGCATGTTAGACTACTTATGTGGTTCACTTTTAGTCAAGATGCAACAAAGGAAGCAACTCTCTGTTGACACTTCAGTTGTTTGAAATGACAGCTGCTTACATACTTGCATCTAACAAGTTTATGTGAAAACAATGTCTGCACCTAGTAAAATAAAAGGAGCAACAGAAGCTCCATCCTTGGAGCAATTTTGTCAAAGTAGAAATCAATTGAACCATTCCAGGTATGATCACCCAAATCATAAACGGATGCAGAGCATAAAAAATGAAACATCCAAAGAAAATATGACAGACATTACGGAAACTTACTGTCTTCATTGATTCAATGTGAGGCTCAGCCCATTTAGCAAACTGAGCTTTCTTTTCCACTATCTGATGACAATTGAGAAATAGAGGTAAAAGAAATTAAAAGAATAAGAGTCTGGAACTGAGGATCCGCAGCTTTACAACAAAATCAGATTCCTTCAATGAAATACTTTTTGTGCACATTTAGCATTCTCGGCTGAAGTATAACATATATTAAAAGGATTAGTCTTTTAAGAGCCCAAGAATAAGACCTTTTGAATTGTCATGTCCAGAGCTGGTCTCCCATGTTCATTCCAGCAAGAAATCAAGTAGGACTGCATATGAGACACATCTAGTCATAAAAAGATGCATATGATAAACATTACTGCCAGCTCAAGATTTACCTGAAAATGATGCGTATGAACTGCTAGCAAGCGTGGAATTTGCTCTCCACGAATCTGATTACAGGCCACAATCAATTTATTTGAAGTTTTTTCAGTAAGTATGGCATCAATTAGGAGGGCAAGCCCATCACCACCAGGCATTAAAATGCAGCATTTCCTTACCTTATAAGATGTTGAAACTTCCTGGAGTTTTGCTTCCACCAATTCTTCCTATGACACAAAAGTTTTAACAGTATCAGCTACCACATGGTAGCGTTGCATATTTTGAGAGAGTGAAAACAAACCTGTGTCACTCGAAGTGCATGTTCAGCCAAGCGAATTCTTGTCTTCTGTTCATTGTTAATCCTTTCAAGCTGCATGGAAAAAGGACAACTCATAATGACTTTTATTTGGTATATTGAGAATCATAGGCAAGAAATTCTTATGCATTCACTTTTAGAGCCTTGTTATTGCTAGAAACTAAACTGTTATAGTGCAACAGTGCTACTTTCTCATCTCTGACAGCAACTAGCTCAAAATGAATTTTCTAAAACTTCTGAAGAATAATGGGAACTTCATAGACTCCTTGCTAGATCAGTTAGGAAATAAAAATTGGGTTAATCTAACCAAATTAATGCTCAGAGTTCAAGCAGCATGCCAATGTTGGCCAAAAAATAGTAGCAGGCCAATCAGCTGGCAGATTCAACAGAAGCAATGATAGAAACTACAAACAGAAGGACCTTTAGCCACAGACTGTTCATCCTTACATCTAAAAGCATATGAGAAAAGAGATAAATGTTCTATCTTTTTAGTGAATGAACAGTCATTTAGGAGACAGAACCAGGTCAAAATTGAAGTACAGAGCTATCATTTCCATAGAAACAGGAGAACATATTATCATATTAGAACAACTAGCAAATAACCATAGATCAGCAGGACCCATTGTAAAACAGAACAGTTCCAATGACAGTGATGAAGTGCTTAAAGGAAAATATGGGTTTGTATTACATACATTTTCTAGTTTTAAGTTAAGTTCATGGATCTTTCCCTCAACAATATTTGCTCGGACTTCTAATGCATTTTTTTTCTTATTCTGCACTTCTATTTCCTTCTGGAGTTTGTCAACCTGTTAGAAAGAGTGATCTCCTCAGCATGCAGCAGATCCACAGAGAAACCATGAAAGTCACACGTTTAACATACCTGCTTTTCAAGTTCAGATACAGGAATGCATGTGTTACTCATGTGCTCCTTGCCTTCTGAAGATCTCTTTTGCTAAAACATTAAATATATATATATATATATATATATCAGAATAAAAGAATACCAAATAAAAAAAAAAAAGGTCATAGCCTGATAGTCTTTAACTTCAAAATATGAATCAAGAGTAGCTGGGAAAAAATTAGTCAATGATCCTACCTAGGAGAAAAAGATAACTGAAATATTTCTTAAAAGAAAGAATATGGGAATAAAGGGTGCAGCACGGTTATAAGCTGACCTGAAGATATTCTATCTCACTTTGCAATGATGCTATGATGTCTGCTTTCTCTTGGATGACTGTTTCTACTTGACTAACTCTCTCATCCTTGTTTCTTAACTCACGGGTTTTTTCATCAATGCTCAATTCTTCAAGAACATAAAAAGAAGAGGAATGTCAAAAATAGAGGTGCATATAAAGTTTAGCTAAGTTATCATAAGATTTATGATTGAAAGTTTAGACAAATTCAGATGAACTACAATAATAACAATAATAATAATAAGACAAAACAAAAGAAAAAGAAAATTACCCAATGCTAGGCACATATTAGGCAGCTATGATTCAATACAAGTAAATTAACACGTCTTAGCAGGGAAACCAAATTTTGAATCATGAGAACAATTTATACCCCATTGATATCGTGAGCATGATGAGGCTTGATGAGAAAATCATCTCTTTGAATACAAAATATTGATATAATTTGAATACTTTCATGTACTAGCCTTTAGGAACTATGGCTCTATGACTCTAAGGCCAATAACTTCATAGCAATGCAATTCACTACAAGAACTAAGGAACCACCAGAAATTTCTTCTGAGATTCTACAACAACCCATTTGCTACATATTTTCTTCTATACTTAAAGAAACCAAAAGGTTTCTCTTCTCAGCAAACCCAATTAACAGGGAAAATACAGCAATGCAATTTAGATAAATACCCACAAAAATACTAACATGAGAAAAGAAAAACAAACATAAAAAATGAAATTAAATTCAGACCCCTCAGGTTGAAAAGCTTAAGGAAATTAAATTCAATAAGTAACAATAATCAGAATCCAGATTTTCATACAGTCGTCTCTGAGTTTATATACCTAAAAATTCAATCTTGGTTTTGAGTTGCTGAATTTCATACTCATGCGAAGAATCATGAGGCTCCGATACGATTTTAGATGCAATTTTTGAGAAAAGTAGCTGAACTAGTATGAAAAAGAACACTGTTTTTCTCGAGGCCGCCATTGGAGACGGTCTCCGCAAGGTCTTTGGAACGAGGAAGAAAGAAATTTGACTGGTTTTGCCTTTTGTACGTCTTTGTAACAGCTCCCTCCAGAGACGATTTTTCTAATTCCAGGAAATTACTTTCCTTCTAAGTTCGTAAATATTAAACTTTTTCCTATTATTGAATGAATTAATGTTAGGCCTCCATCATACAATTTTTTTCAAGAGCGATAAATATTTATTTGTAGTTTAAATTTGAGATAATAATTTTGACTATTCATCTTATCCTCTAAAAGTTTTTTTTTTAATAATTATTTTCATTTTTTAAAAGAGTAAAATGAATAAAAATAAAAATTATTTCAAAATTCTTAATATAAAAAAAAAAAAGAAGCAAAAAAACGTCTGTCACCTTGAAACAAAGCGAGTAAATTTTGTATTTTTTTTTAAAATTTTAGTATAAGTTAAAAACGTACATTTATTAGATAATGTTTTTAACTTGTGTATTTAAAACATAAATTAAAGATTTTTATCATAAATATATATAAAACCATAAAAATTACATTAATTTTAGTATTAATATTAAATAAATAAATTTAATTTAAAAACTATTTTTGAAAAATAATTTAATTAAATAATTAATAAAATAAAAAGTCAATTTTTATTTTTAATATAAATTTCTTATAAAAGATACATTTATTATATCTTTAACTAGTATTTTAAGTTACAAGTTAAACAAAACCCTTATTATATTAAAAAAAATTAAAATAGTTGAATTCATATTTTAAAAATAAGATATTTTAATTTTATTAATAAAAATTTACTAAAACAATTTAATTAAAATTTTTTTTCATAACTTTTAAGAAGTAAAGTAGGTTGTAATATTCTCTTAACTTATATCTAAAAACATATATTAAAAAAATCTTTTTTATGTAAAAAAATATTTTATGTTTAATATTATTTATTATTTTTCATGCTAAACCCTTAAAGTTTTAGATCAAATTGGGATTGTATTAGCTTGAAGTTGTGAATTTAAACCGTTTTATGTCCATGTACCCAAAAAACCGTTTTATGTCCAAAATTTCCCATAATGTATATATACATAAACAACTATATTTCACATTAAAAAATAAAAGGACAATTTAATTTGTGAGGTTATTCTCTATCAAAAAAAAAAAATTTTGTGAGGTTATTCTTGTCAAGACCATTAATTTAATTATAATTTTATTAATTTATAAATTTTTTAAATAATTAAATATAATATTTAAAAACATATATATCTATAAATTAATTTTAATATATTAAATAATAAAACGTTAATTATTTTTAATAATTGAATTAAAATAAAAATTTAAAAATTTTTAATAACCCTAACATAAGTTATAGTTACCAACTTACCATAAGGCCATAGCCATTGCCGAATTTAATTGAAAAATGGTTTTCCTTTATGTGGGCTTTGATGTTGAAATTGTGAATGGCTGAATGCGATGCTTCAAACTTCAACCACCTTTAGAAAGGCCGAATGCTAAAGTCTGAAAATTTTGAGGACTTGATATGGGCTTTCCATAAAACCTATTTCAAGCTGGGCCATTGACTGCCGTGCATCTTCAAGTCCAGTTATACATGACCATTTGCAGGTTCCGGGCCGAAGTCGGCTGTCTTAATTTCATAGGATCGGGGCCCACAATCGATTGGAATTTTAAGGGTATGTTTGGGTGTGGTCATGGCTATGTATAAAACGTTAAAATTACTAATTTTTTTTTTAAAATAATATCTTAAAATATTAATTGATTAACTGATTGTAATTTATTAATTAATAAATATCAATTGTTTTATCAATTATTAGTTAATAATTATAATTATTAATTATTTTTATCCATCAAGTTAAATAGAATCAGTATTTTTAAAGATTATTATATAATTTTTGATGGTCTTAACATAATGAGTGGTGGCCATAACCATATCCAAATATTTGGTTTGAGAGGAGGGGAAGAAGAGGTGAATTTTTTAACCAATTACAATTGCAATATTTAAAAAATTTATAAGTTAATTGGTTTAAAACTCATTCTCTCCCCTCCCCTCCCCTCCATTCCCTTCAATTCAAATATATTAATAGTGATTTTGGTCTAGCCTATATCATCTTTTTTTTTTTTTTTTGATCAGCCAAAAGAAAACTTTTTATTAAATGGAGCACAAAGGGTGCTCCTGCCTATATACAACACTTAGAGCCTACAACTGAGGAAAACCCACTCCATATAACCAGAATTGAACACAGCCTAAAAACCCAATAAAAAACCGTACCATCAGGTACCCATACACAAGACGTTTGGAGCAAATTGTGCACCTCCCACCCATTAGCTAGAGGACACAATAGCCTTAGAGAATTGCTTCCTCGTCCTTTTATGCCGCTTGACAGACATTGCACACTCCATCGGACAAGATTGTCATTCATAAAAGGAAAAAACACAGCCATTCACTTTAGACTTTATCTATCTTTATTATTTTTAAAAATTAAAATTAGTCTCTTTTTTTTTTTTTTATAGTTTTAAATATGGTTAACGTCTTCATAAACAAGCTAATCCAGCCCGTAAACAGCCTTATCCCTTAAGTGTAGCCACAGTCCAATATTAATTGGTCCTCAAATAATTAATTCTAGTTTCAAATTTATCAGGGTCACTCCTGTTAGAATTTAAGGATAGATAGAATTCCTGTTCAAAAAAAAAAAAGAAAAGATAGATAGAATTTAAGATATTAAAATATAATGAATTGAATAAATTATGTACCTGATGAGATGACACTTTATAGATATCCTATAGATTTTGTAGATACCAAACAATTAGTGTGGAGAGAAGACCTAACCTTTAATTTATATCAAAACCCTAATAGCAATCCCTCTCATTAAGGGTTTATTGGGTTTGAACTTACACTGGCTGTCTCTACATTATACTTAAGAGATGTTTTAAACCCATACAAATGATGCAATAATTGAGCTTCTCACAAATGTCTTAATATTTTGGACTAGCACAAGCTAGTCTGTTTTATTAAGTCAAAATACCAATTAATGAAAGCACACAAATAGAAAATTTCTAACAATTCCAGCTAAAATACTAAACCAAGTAGATATGGCCACCCCTAAAGCTAAGTATGATGTATATATGCATGTGTGTACACATAGGGAATACATAACCTTTATCTTGTGATTAAAAACTTGAAAATTTAAGTTAAAAATTTTAAATTCAAAATTTAATGTAGATGAACAGAAATAAGGAAAGAGAGAGCTATTCTTTATTATATAACTCATATATATATATATATCTAGTGATTAAAAACTTGAAAATTTAAATTCAAAATTTAATGTAAGTGAACAGAAATAAAGAAAGTGAGAGTTATTCTTTATTATATAATTCATATATATATATATATATATGAGGAGAATAGATAAAGGGAGGGAGCATTAAATGACTAAAATAAGAAAATAAGACATAAATAGTTTCTAGTAGTCAACGATGTATAGAACAATGAGAGTAGTAATAATTCTCACATTTTAAGCGAACAAGATAAAGTGAAAAGTGAAAAACGGTAGCTAGCTAGTATTAAAGAAGTATTTAAAAAAAATTGTTGGGTTAAAACAAAAGTGCAATATTAATGTTGTAGACCAGAGCGTACGTGGTGATTCCAACAATAAATATTATCTGCCCTAATCTCACATGCAAGAAGAGAGAGCAGAGACAGAGCCGAAGGAACAACTTGCCGCCTGGCAGAGGGAAGGCGGCTGGCAACAAAAGCTAGTCCACCGGCGCTAGTCGGCAAGTCATCCTTGGCTCAAGTCTCCACTCTCTCTCTTCATGCAAGACAATGAGACAAAGAATTAATGAATCATGTCTTCCCATCCTTAACTACTTCTCACTTGATAATTAGAACGTCTCGTTGTGTATGCGTCCTTTTATAGGAAGAGATTAGATACCATACGGGTAGAGAATTGCAATTTTATATCATTCATGTGTATATATTCCATTCCGACGAAGGGGACGTTGCCCATCATGCGTGGAATATAGAACCTTCCCAATTACCTATCTGTTAGCTATAAACCAATATTTAGTTTAGTTGTTTTGAATAGTTTATAATTAATAAACAATATCTAACTATTAATAATGTTTAAATTATAAATATTAATAATGTATATCAACTATCTGCTATTTTTTATTAGTTATGAATATTAATAACAAAAATAAGGCTCCATTTAATTGTGTAGTTTTTTATTCTTAATTTTAATTACTCATTTACTTTCATATGTTATTTTTTGTGTTTATCCTAGTCTCATCCACACTTCTTTGTATTTGCACAAATATTGTCAATAAACGTTCTATATTCTATTATACAAGATGATTATAAGAAGGAAAATAATTGATATATTTTTAGTTTAACACACTTCCTTATACTTATTTCAATTTAGTTATATATTAAAATATAATATAATTATAATTTATTTAGTTAATTTCTACATCTTATATGCAGGATTTGTATCTTTAAGTGTATTTATCTTTAATTTTAATAATTTTTTAATAAATATATTATGCAATGTATTAAATTAAAATCATTGTCATTATAAAAAAACATTCAAATTTGAAACTTTTGAGAATTGCGCAATTGCGTATGAATCTGTTAATTGATCTGAGTTTATGTTTGCCTTCATGCATGTTATAATTAAAATGGAATATGTATATATATATACTTTTTTTTTCTCAGAGGGTTAAAATATTTGATAATGTAGATGTTTAAATTTTTAATTTTTTTGATATTAACTCTAAATTAAGATTTTTAAATTAGTGGGTACAATCTTGATAAAATTTTTGTTAGTAATATATATACTGTTCAACTGTAATTGGATGCCCATTCATAACCCTTCTGAACCTGACTGTCTGTAAATAGTGTGTGCCTAACTATTTATATGTACACCTCATGATACTGTCCCTATGTGCCTACCATCATGAGTTTGATTCTCATATGTCGAAAGATTAAAATCATTCACTAGTGTGCACTTGAAAATCATCTTCAAGCTAGAGATTAATTTGTTGGTAAATCCTCATGCTTATTCCTATAATTAAGAAAATTGAATTTTTTTATAGGTTGAACCTCGATTTTGACACTTTGAATCCTAGATTTAGTATACAAAATGTGAAAATTGAGGTCAAAATCATGAATTTCAACACAAGTTTTGAATTCAATCTTAAATCAATGGGTAAGTAAATATTAATGTTGGATCCCTATTACCTAGCTTTAATACATGGGCACGACACGTTCGGTGTTCCTTTGATACAATATGAAAATTTAGTACAAGTTTTTTTAATACAAAATTTATATTTAATTTAAAATTAATTAACAATAAATAAAATAACAATTCCTATATTTAAACTATATTTTTTTTCCCAATGATTAAGCCATACATTTTTTTATTATATCTTCAATATTAAAATTTTTTCCCTGAACACAAAATAATATTTATTTATTAATAAATTGAATTCTAGGAGTTACACTGTAGATATAAATTAAATTATACTTTCCGCTTCCCAACTGGACCCAATTAAGTAGATACCATTTGACTATTGCATGAACGAAAAATGATAGATCATTAATTGATTGGAGGTTGTGGGAATAGAATCTTTTGCAAGATAAATAAAATGTGCACAAGTGGTGTTTGTTCTTTCCGAAAAAAAAAAAAAAAACAGGTGGAACTTTATGGTTTATATCCTTTAGTTGCTTTCCATCATTTTCAAAAACATAAACATCATACCGTCTCGAAGTCAGATGACATTCGATAGAGTTCCAAATCTCATTGAGGTAAATCACGTAATCTAACTATTTGCAGTATTTTTCTTTACTCTTAAACAATTTTCACTGCAAATCATATAACTAAAAGAGAATTGCTTATTAACAAAAAAAATGAAAAAATACATCAAGCATCTTAATTCAACATCAAGTACTGCCACAAGGGAAAACATTAATTCGATTTCATAATCCAAAGAGAATATATATGTTGAAGAGAAGATTATATAGCACGAGAAGGATTGCAAATCATCAATATATGGGAATATAATCTTTATATCATGGAGGAAGATATATATGTAGGATAAGGCTTTGACTCATTAACTTGAATCCCCACCATTGCAGTCTTGACTTTATATTTAAGGTGAGGATCTTGTATATTTTTAAGTTCTAGATTTGAGTTCTGTTTTGTAAATTTGTTTAATTTTGTAATTACATTTAGTGATTGATTGATTGATTTGTGAGTCACTTATATACTAATTGGTTGATATGTTTTGCAAAAGGAACTTGTAAGTTTGATTTTTAATTAGCAAAAGAAAATGGTTTTATGAAAAAGGTACGAGTACCTTAACCTATATATCATATATATATATATGCAAAACCAACCAAAACCCAAGACAATTCTTAGTTTTCTTAGGTTTTATCTTATACATAAACAGAGAAATTGAACCGAGTCATTAAATAAGAATATAATAAGACCCTCTTCTTTCCCTTTTAGCCATACATAAGATTTTTCTTGGATAAAATCTAGTAGTCTGCCTTTGTCCCACTCCTCTTCACGAAGCATAATATATAGGAACGTGTAAGTTGTAACATTAAGTTATCACTGGATCAAGGAAACATGCACTACCATCAAGTTTTTATGGAAGTTGAAACGTTAGTTACCATGTAATACTTGTGGAAACTTCTAATATAATGAGAAAATGTTTGATGCATAGAAATATTATAATAACATATCAATAAGATGAATAAAATAAAGAGAAATGATATATGCACACTTTAGACCGGCACTTTTGGTCATACACCCCTTAATTTAGTTTTTAAAATACAATTTTTTTTCTTTGGAGTTTAGCTATCTGTGACTTATCTTGAATATCTTATGTTAAAATTCCTTGTAATTCCATTAAAATTAGGAAAATCACCCCAAATCTAGGCACTCTTCTTCTCTTCCTATGACCCTACTCCTCTTTGGAATCGGCCTTCGTCCCTCTCTCTTGCCCTTATACCTTTCAGCGATGCTAATAGAACCTAAGTGCCGGTACAGTAACCATGTTTTTAGAATGGCTGAACTTGCAAATTTCTACTGCCAGAGGGTATTGATTATGGTATATTATGTCCAAAGTTGGAAAATGAGATATGGCATAATTATGTCAAAGAAATTCAATCTGAAAGCAAGAACATTCATGTCGAAAGATGCATTTCACCTCTCCCCCTAAGGATGAGTATTTTAGTTCCCTGAGATGGGAGCCGTCGCTCGCACTCCCAGATCCTAGGTTTTATACTCCATCACCACTTCTTCTTTCTTTTTCCTTCCATCTTTTCTTTCTTTAACATATATTATCATTTTCTTTTGTTTGTTCGTTTAATTTCCAAGAAATCCCTAAAAATGTCTACTCGTTCTTCTCGTTCCCAAACTCCAACCCTAAGCCCTCCACCTTCTTATTGGACTAGATTCAATTCTATGGCAACCTGTATGTGCTTTCTTCCTCACCTTTCCTTTTGTTTTGTTCCTTTAATTTTAGGTGACAAACATCTTACTAGAGCCGAGGCAAGGGAAATAAATTCAAACTGGAAGATAGCTAAACTATCCAAAACAAAATTAGGGGTTCTGCTGCTTTCAACTGCTACAAATTGACATGTTTGGAAACAAAAATAAAAGAATGCAGTTTAAATGGCAGAAACTTTTAGTTTTTCCACTACTAGTTCCAAACCGTTGAATATTAATATTTTAAAATAGTGTGTGAAGTGGAGTGATGAAC